ATATAATTTCAAACTATATCCCGTTCGGGATATAAAAAAAATTTTGCTGCAAAAAATGATATCCCAATCGGGATATATATCCCGATTGGGAGTATATCCCGATCGGGATATGTCTCCACACTGTCTGATGCAGAGGCGGTGGAGTGACTCTGAAACTATGGGTGCTCAAGGACAAGAATGCAGGGAAAAAATAAGTTTTTGCTGGAAGAAAACGAAAATTTTCAAAATCTGTGAGTGCCAAAGCACCGACGGTCGTTCCGCCACCTCTGCTCTAATGGATACATATCAAAGTACCTCAAATACTAGACAACTAAACTTTTATATTCCATTGTGAAGTTTTTATACAGTCTTCAAACTGGAACAACATTTCAAGTACACGAAAACGAGCTACACTTCAAGTGTAGCTCACACTATCAAGTGATCGGTAGATTAAGAATGAAAGATTCATTCTTAATCTACCTGTCACTTGATAATGTGTAACGCTTGAAGTGGTAGAACGAACGCTATATTCTTTTATTTTAAACCTTCACATTTCTTCTAGCGTGCCGAACTTGGGCGTTCTTGTAGATAGAATTATAAATGGGCAGTACAGATGTATGGGATCATCGTATTCTGTGTGAAAGGGCGAAGGATACTATCAAAAAATTTGCTTTTTCTCTGAGGAAAATTTCGGTTTTACCACTCCTGAAAAACTCTTGTGCTTCTCAGGTGGAGTGTTTCGTCAAGAAAGTAAAGAGCATAAATCTCCTTCTAAGAACGTTTTAATAAAATGCAATTACTCAAATAAGTTTATCAAGCAAATAGTAATTTTATGCAAACAGCATTCATCGATCTTTTATTTCAAAAATTGAAACTTTCATACTAATATTGGTAAATCATGATAATTTTTATGTTGATTATGGTCACTAGACGTTGATATAACCTTTATTTATTTAGAAGAAATGTTGAAGATATCAGGACAAATTATGAGAAGAAGGAGGCGAACCCATAGAAGGAGACCCCATAAGAAGGAGCGCGAACTATCTACTAAAACAGCAATTTTTTCATCATTGTAATAGATCGCACGAATTTGAAAATCGCATTCAGGATATTTTCTAGCTTGAGTACATCGTTATGTTACCTTTTTTCCAAGAGCTATTGTTTCGGTTCACTTTATTGAAACATTATTTTGTTTTATAAATGATTTCATATCATTCTCATCAAAAAATTCTTCTACAAAATTCTCCACTCTCTCCGAGCTATGGTTTGAAGTAAGTTTTAGTTGAAAGTTTCTATTGAATTCAGTCATAGGACTTTCTTTGAACTAGGATGATCCAATGATTACTTAGAATTTTCCATTTGTGTATGATATATCAATCGAATTTACGAAAAAGATCCTTGATCAACATTGTCGGTCTGTGAATACTGTATAGTACTTTATGCATCTTGTACATAAATATATAGAGGTATATCACAAGCGATATCTGTCAGGATAACTTACGTTCATCTCTAGTTCTACTATTCAATTTTGTCGCACACATAGGTATGCACCATTTTTAACTGGTGTTGGGGCATCCAGGAGAACTGCTATACATCAGTTATCACGATTCGCTTAGAGCCGTGCATCTCATTTTATAGAAAAATGTTTGCTCTATAAAATGCCTTTGTTCAAAAATTTTCCATTTCTAAACCATTTCTAATAAAATCTAGAACATTCTAAATACATAAAATCACGGAAAAAAATTTTTAGAACAGTTTTTTTTCGTGATTTAATGTTTACTTGAATGCTCTAAGTTTTCTTAGAATTGATTTTGGAAGTTTTTGAACAAATGCATTTTGTAGAGCAAACATTTTTCTACAAAATGAGATGTTTTACGACTCTGAGTAAATCTTGACAACTGATGTATAGCAGTTCTCCTGGATGCCCCTACACCAGTTAAAAAATGGTGCATACCTACGTACACACAACGATATACATGTCGTAGGACAGATTAGAATTCAGTTCAGTTTAAAACTGTCTTAATTCCGATTGAAATTTTAATCTGAACTAGTTGAGATTAAAACGATTGCCACGTCAATTAGTTTAGATTAAAATTTGATTCGAACTAGGACAAATCAAATTTTGATCTGAACGATTCAAAGTGGACTAGTTCAGATTAAAATATTTTGATCTGAACTACTATACGTTTCAAAAAAGAATGCCGATGACTATTTTTCGAATAACTTTTGGTACAAAGTAGGTAAAGAGATGTGGTTTTCGCTGTTTGAGAGCGATCTTAAAACATCTTGAGAAATAAAAATCGGACTAGGTCTACCACCTGCAGGTGGTAAGCCATTCACATCCTTGAAAGACAAGGTTGGAAAAAGAACGAAAAAAAGATTTTTTTTCCCGTTCTTTTATAGATTCGAACTAGCAAAACTTCGTCTACAAAACCCCAGAGAGCTCATTTTTTGCTGAATCTCGTGGCAATATTAGTTTTCAGAACAAAATGCAGTAACTGGGTGAAAGCCTATACTAGGTGAAATAACCCATTTTTGATTATTTTTATCAAAAATTGAAAAACTCATAACTCAGTCAAAATCCGTCCAACCTATTTCAAAATGTCCGGAAATACTCTGTTTTATTTGCTTATTCAGATTCTGTGCGCAAAATCAATAAGAAATATTCTTTTAGTTTCAAATGTTTCTCGAAAACCTTTCATGAAACCAAATCTAGTAGTTCAGATCAAAATATCCACTTTGAATAGTTCAGATCAAAATTTTAATCTGAACTAGTTGACGTCGCAATCGTTTTAATCTCAACTAGTTCAGATTTCAATCTGAACTAAGACAGTTTTAAACTGAACTGAATTCTAATCTATCCTACGACATATACATTCAGTCTTTTCTTTTTTCTTTCTGCTTTTCACTTTTTGCTTTCCACTGTTCGGTCACTATTCGTCCTTCTTCTTTCTATTCTTGTGAACATTTGTTAAACACTGCAAATAAGTTCAAGATTCCAATGTATGTTCACATCAGCAGCAGGAAAACAAACTACAGTGTAAAGAGAAAACACTAGGAATAATAATGATTTGACAACAGCTAAAATTTTTTATCATATATCTTCGCTGTTGATCATCTATCTCTAATTCCGCTCTGTAGCAGATCGGCAGGATAACCGATGAGTGTTTCAGTTTTAATGAACTGTGCTTTTGAAGATTCTTTTGTTGAAACAATGAATAGAATCTTTATCATGAACGATTTTGTTCAACCTAGTTGTGTTTCCTATCCTAACAATTTCTACAGATGTAAACTGATGTTAGCTGATTTTCGCTGTACTATTATTTCGTATTGCTTTCGATATTTTCAGTATCACTATAACATTCAAGAGTGAAATTTGGTAGATTTTTTTCATTTTCCGGGGTAATTGTTATATTATTACGTCAGTAATTCATGCACAGTAAAGTAAGCGATTAGATGATTTGTTTTATGTCAACAACTGCGATAGTGCAGCCAAATTAACAATTTCTCAATTGAAAATCTGTTTCGTTCCGTTCATGTTTTTACCTTAATAGATTCAGAAGAATTGATCGACCCCCCACGAGGAACCCAGTGCTGTATGACCACACTGTACCAACATGTGACCTAAGAAACGAAATGATGCGTTACAAACGGAATGCTCTAATAATTGTTTCTTTTGTGTATGATTGATTAAACAGAATTTGGACAGGCAGATTTGATTGAACAACGTTATGCGCAGTTTTTTTTAATGGCTACGTAAGATCAGTTTGCGAGGTAAAAAGTAAAAATGAAAGTAAAAATGTTGGAGACGAAAACGTTGACGACTACATAATAAAATAAACAAACTTTAATTGAAAACAAAGCTAATTTATTTTTATCCATATTAATCAACGATATATGCATGTAGATGAACGGTGGCGTAGAAAATGAGAAAAGCAAATTTAATACACCGAAAGAAAACAAATTTGAATCATTGTTTGACCTCTTATGGACTGAGACATAATCTATCTCCTTGGACATAACATTAATGAAACATAAATGACTGCATGAAGAATATCATAAATATTAAAACTAATGATTGATATATACCCATTGGTCTCAAAATCATACTCGAATGAGACATTTGTACATAACCTGCTAATCCTTGAACTAATGGCGATCCCACTTGTGGTGATGCTGGTAATGTTAATTGACCATTTAATGTTGCGTTACCTGGACCATTTAATTTGTAACTTATTATTACTTGTGCCTTTGTTCCTATTACATATAAATAATCTGTTGAGCCTAATGTTATTATTGTTGTATCCAATGCACCTGTTTGATTAGGTAGCATGTAATATTGAACAATTGTCACGTTATTTGTCGATGGATTAATACTTATTTCAACAATCGTTCCAGTACCAGCAGCAATACCGTAATAATTTCCAGTTTTCGATGAATATACTGACCAACATAGTGCGGCTGCAACAGATGTATTTACAGGTGTAAACAGACTGTTCATGACAGAACCATTCGATGACGAATATGAAAGAGTTAAAAATCCATTGGCACCGGGATCTGTCAGAAGTAAACCGTTTTGGCCAACAAGTGTCATTGAAAATGGTAACACGGCACCGGTTGGAACAGTTTCTTTTGGATTTAATGAGAGACTACCATTATTGATCGTATAAATTAAGATGTATCCGCTAAACACATTCGGAACACCCTTGACCGAAACAATGAGTGCCTGATTATCAGCTGAAAATTGTATTTGACTTAACGTATTTGGTGGTCCCATAGGCGGTGTTGTTTGGTTAACGTACAAAACAAGTGAACGATCGTAGGACGCCATTGTTGTTAAACCATTTGATGTATAGGAAAAACAACGAAAACCATTCAGAGTTCCGCCATTTAATACGCATGCATACATTGAATTAACGGCAACAGATATTGGATATGTACCATTGGTTGGCTGAACGGATATCAGTGTTATTTGTGTAGCATCGGTTGGACTGATAGAAAACTGTGAAAGGGTATTAGATCCGGGATTAACAACAAACAAATAATTTTCATAAACCATTATTGAACCTTGAGAAAACAGTGGATCTGCTGCAGTCACATTAACCCCCGTACCATTCGTACTCACAGATGCCACATACATTAATTGGCCAGTACTTATACTTACACGAGATACAATAACTTGATTCATAGTAGGCGACATTGACATAGTATAAACGGCTCCTTGACAATTACCATCGGTGATTAGCACAGAAAGCATTAATAGTAATGAATAGTAACAGCTGAATGTTTCCATTATATACTGCTTATTTGAAAAAAATAAATTACAACAGAAAGTATTTAAAGTCAGCTGTTTAGAGAGATAAACTGCCAAAGTAGTCACACGATTTAGCAGGTGACTTTCAAATTATCATCACGGCTCATATTTTGTTGCCGTTTCTGGTTTATTATCTTGGCTGTATAACAGATGATGTACTATTTACACTTTCTTGTGTGATATACAAATGATATGCAAATAAAACATATTTTAGTAATTGCATTCCACGTTTTATTTTGAATAACAAGATGAAGTTATTTTCCTGTACACAAAAAGGAGACTAATTACGTACGCATAAAGTATAAAAGAAATATAAAATAGAAAGGCGTGACAGGCAACACAATCATGCATAATTACGTCAATACAATGTTTTCATCTGAGTCATTCATGCATATTTTAATCGTAATCATAGTGTCTCTTTTTTCTTCATTCACTATACTTTTTAAAGTACAAGAATTATACACGCTAGTTTAGCTTATTCAGGTCTTATAAGTAAGCTATTTTTCTGTAGAGAAAAAAAGAGACACCGATTACGATTAAAATATATGCTTTTTCTGTTTTCCGACTAAACAGTTCGATAAAACGTAAGAGTTTTAAAGCATGCCGCTCATTTTCTAATAACAATAATTACCTTATTGTTTACAAGAAAAGAAAAGCTGAGAGAATCGAGTACTACGATATATGATCTATTTTGCAAGAAGTACCTTTAAATTAAACGATTAAAAGATGGAATGTACAGCGATAGCTGCTGGCCCAAGATTAATAAATCTCTCCGTACATTTAATCTTAATGTTTTTCTTTGATTTGTTTCGTTGTGATTTCTTTTAAAAAGCTAGTTCATTCATTTCTACAAAACTCTATTAACGAGATTCTTACGAAGTGTTCACACATATTTATCCACTAGTTTTTGTCAAAAACTAGAGGATAAATAGATGTGACTACGCAACTCGACTTGATATTAATCTCGTTTTAGTTAACCGTTTATCAATTACTAGATACTCACACAGAACTCACCATTTGAAGAATGAAAAGAAGATACCGCGACGTTTCTCAGGGGTCTCGCCAGGCGGTTTCCCTCCAGAAAGACAGAGTTAAGGCGCGACAAACAGCAAAACTCTGTCCTCACCGGGTGAGAGTGGTACCATTCTTTGTTCTAGACAGAAATACAGAAAACATTACGCCACTCTCACCCGGTGAGGACAGAGTTTTGCTTTAAACATGTTTTGAGTGTACTTTGGTGTTGTATTGTTGAATAAATTTAGAATCAATAAAAACGGTCGTTAATTTTGCATCAACACAATATTATGAGAGTGGACTGTTAATTACTTCAATCATTGTTTGAAAACGTTTTATGTAAGAACGATTTCAATAAGCTCTTTTCAATTATTAATTCCAAGTTGGTACTCTTCCAAAAATTCTCTCAAAACAGGAAGTAATTCATGTTCCATGTTTATTCTGTCACCGGAGCCTCCGTTTCAGTTCCCTCAGGACTAAAGATTTTACCATGAAGATAAAATTATACGCATGATTTCAAGTAAGCCATGTTAATTTCTGAGAAAGTTCAACCGCTTACTATAAGAAAGATCTCACATAATTTGACAATCGTCTTGTGTGTTTGTTTATCCTCCGGTAGCCTTGATTCCACCATGTTTAACTATGGTTTTCTGCAAGAACATAATGTAATTAAGTCTCACCATAAAGATTCTCCAATGAGAAAGAGAAATCTTACGAAAAACTTGTTTTCTTCTTCTGTGTCAGGGTCAGTAAGTAAGCAAAACAACAGTATAGTAAGCAATTCATTCATTCTCGTGCGATTAAGACGTATTTGCTTTGGTTTTTCGTTTGGTTGTAAAAGAAACGAAATTGTTTTGAATTTTTATCGTGAAATTTTGGAGAAAAGAAAGAGTTAATTTAAATGCTGATGTAATAAATATGGGTGGAAAAAAAAAACTGGCTGCACCAGATGCGAAAACATTGTCTCCAAAGTCTTCATCTTCGACAGATCTCAATCAACTTTCAGAAATAGTACATAGAACAAATGATAGAAACCGAATAACTGATTCTAAAGAACTATCGGATAGATCTTCTTTAAAATGTTCCAAATATCAAGAAGATAATTCAGCTATTGGTTTTAATTGTGGAAAATGTAGGAAATTTTTTCATGTCAAATGTTCATTAAATATTGCATTTCCTAGTCGAATAATGTTAGATTTAGAACAAATTTTTTCAACAGAATTATTTTGTAATTTGTGTAAAAACGACTACTGCTAAATAGCATTCTGTAAAACATTAGATAAAAATACAGCAAAACTATAAAAGACACTGCTATGAAGCTAATCAAAGGCCAATTAGCATTAGTATTAAGTAGAATGGGTCAAATTGAAACACAATTGTCATCATTAGATAATCATGATCAAGACCAAGTGTATAACGAATTTTCAAGAAATTATCAGCAACCATCATCATCTTATGCAAATAAAGTTACTCAAGCTTTAGCTTCACAATCTCCTCCACCACAAACAACTGATATTCAAAATGTAACTACATCACTAATTCCTCTCATTGCATCAGCATCACCATCAGCAAAGTTGTCACAAACATCAAGAAATTTTGCTACAACGATAACAACTCCAGCATCACGAGGAATAATTAATAAATATACAAATGTTAAAACTGATTTTAATCGCTCTTTGATTATCTATCAAAAAAATAATAATCAATTAATCAAATACTCTCCACAACAATTAAAAAAAAAGATAATTTAATTAAAGCAACAGCAAAATTAAAAGTAAATTGTACGCCACAGTTTTCTTATATACATCCAAAAGGCGGTTTAGCATTTAAATTCGTTAAAAAAGAAGTACAGCAAGAATTAATGCAATAATATAATCAAGGAAATTGGGATCCAAGTGCATTCAATGGGGATTATAATGTTTATTTACCAGGATCACCCACAGTAAACACACATTCATTGGTTATTAAAAATGTACCGACAAATATAATAATTGAGGATGAATTAAAATCTGTTGAATTTAAATATAATAATGAGCATATCGATTTCGATATTCATTGTAAAAAGATAACATGGTTAATTAAGAAAAATGTTTATCGAAAACCCGACCGAACCTGCAACAGTCAAATTAGAATTGGAAAATATACAAATAAGAGACCAACTACTCCAATGTGAATATATGTACATTGCTGGAAATCTTTGTTTTATTTCTAAATTTCAGACAATTCGCGAACCAGTACAATGTATGAACTGCTATAGATTCAACCACGTCACGTTAGTATGTAAATCAGAACAATATTGTATATCGTGTGGAGATACAAAAGACTGTACATCAACTGTGTTTAAATGTGTCAGTTGTGGTCAAAATCATCGTGCCGATAATAAAGATTGTATTAAATATCAAGAATTAATTGAAAAATTAAAACAGCAACAACATAATGAATAATTACAGTATCAATAATGGTATAAATAATTTAAATATAATTACAGCAAATGCTCGTAAACGTATTTTAAACAGTCATGAATTAATTACTTATTTCATAAATCAATATCATTATAATGTTATGATTATGTCCGAATATCACGATCAAGCTATTATTAATGTAAAAAATAATCACATATGTACAACAAAACGTAGTGTTAAGGGACAAGAGGGCATTCTTATTTGTTATGATAAATCATTAAATATCACACGAGCGCACCATTGTGAAACAGAAGTTGATGATGTTATCGTATTGTTTCTTCATACAAAACCAAAACTAATATTGCTGTTTATAATCGACCAAATTGTAAAAATATCATTAATTTTTTAGATAAAAAACACAATAAAATTAAATCGTATACAGATTATGTTATAATGATAGGTGGTGTTAATGAGAGGCATACATATTGGGGTGATAAATTAAGCAACATTATTGGCAAATGTTTGTATGAGAAAATAATTGAACATGATCTTTATTTAGCAAATATATTTGGAGTATCAACGTATCATGATGAAAATGGATGTTCAAGTGTTATTGATTTAACACTACATACGGATGATATAAATAAATATTCGCCAACATGGTCAATTATACCACAAATAGACAAAAT